CATGGCATTTGAGAACAGAGACCTGAGTGCACGGGTCAGAGTGGGTCGATGGGACCGGAATGTGTGTTTCCGGGTAGTCTGGGACATGGACTCCAGCATCACTGGGCATGGTCGACATGGCGGATCAATGTATGAACTAATCGATCAAAATGTCTTTGAAGCATGTGCCATGGTGGTGACAAGCCGAGATTGTGGAGCAAGTCCTGGGTTGGGATTCTAGTGAGATGGACCGGTGCGTGTGCAATCGATCTGAGGTGTTTATTGACCATTCCAACGATGGTTCCACATCCATGGTGTGTGAGGCCCACCTCGAACACTCCATATAGGACAGTCGGAAGAACACATTGACGATATAATTTGATCCGTGTCTGAATTGGGTGATGCTTGTCAAGGAGCCACCTGCGCAATATTCGAAAGCAAGTTTGAGCTGCTGTGAGTCTGCGTTTGGTCGTGTCGGCTTCCCATGCTCGATATGATATAATGACTCCGAGGTAGGACGTTTTGGCAACCAGCGGCACAGAGATAGCCATGTCTGGCATTCGGAGTATTGGGCCATTGGCCGTTCGATTGATCCATCGTTTCTGGAACGATGGAAGGGCCTTCCTAACAAGTCGAAGCAATGCAAAGCTCTTGTGAGGATTGATCTTCAGGCCGTAAGCACCAAACACCCTCATTAGGAAGGACAGGTCGTGCATTGCGCGAAGTCCATCAATTGGTGATTGGACGATCCAGCGCATGTGAAAATCGTCTGCATACACTACTAGGTAGTCAAGGATCCAGGCTTGGTCGTACTGGGCTAGTAAATCGTGGAGGATTAGATACATCGTGAGGTTCCAAAAGAGCGGAGCATCCTTTGATCCTTGTTGTATGCCTCCAATGGCCTGGATTTTTCCTACAACTTCCTTAAAAGGAATGAAGTAAGTGTGGGGGGTTAACCATGAGCGCACTAACGATTGAAGGTCACACGAGACCTCGAAAGCATGGAGAGCCCTGGAAACCAACTGTCTGCTAATTGTGTCAAAGGCCTTTTCCATGTCCAACGAAATTTGGAGGCCTCCCCAAAGACCTGCTTTATCATCGTCTTTACGATGTGCAATGCAAAGCTCTCTCACCTGTCTGTAGTGTTGGGACACTGTCAGAAGACAGTCACGCGTTCCTCGGTGAGGCATGTACGCGTACATGGGCATCTGACAAAGTGAGTCGTGAGCCTGGTCAAGTAACAAACGGCAGTGGATATTGGACATGACCTTATGCATCGGGTGTTGAAGACATATCGGTCTGAGTGCCGCCGGTTGATTGGGTGTTTTATTGGGTTTGGCAAGAAGATGGAGCCAGCCGGCGGACCAATGTGACGGTGGTAGACTTTGTGTTCGACACCATGCATGACTGATACATGGAAACACACCACTGGAGTAAGGAATTCCGCAAAATGTCTCCAAATCAAAGCAGGAAAGCCATCAGGGGCCAGTGCTTTTGTCACTGGGAGGTGTTGAAGTTCACGAAATACATCAGCCTCGGTGAATGGCAAGTAAGTCAGGGCAGGAGGAATTGAAAGTGGTGCTTGAGAGTCCGTGAACAAGTCTTGAAAGTATTGGGTCAAGCGTTCAAGTTCTTGGGACAATGGTGCACCATGCAAGTCAAACATCTGAATCCGCCTAAATGTTTGCTTGGGGCACAGTATACGGATACGCTTATACCAATCATGCAATCTGTTCTGCAGGACGAAAGGGACACTCTCGGCAAGAAAGGTATCTAAGCGAATCCTACGATTCTGTCTGCTTTGACGTCTGATGACCTGATGAATCTTCTCGAAACGAATGACATATGACCAACCCCTGAACAAGGCCTGCAAGGAAACGGATCGGAGACGGAGCAGTTGTCGTCTGGCAAGCCACATTTGAGCTGCCAAGGATTTGACCTGGGAGCACGTGGGACGTGTCTGACTCACCCTTGGGAAGTGATTTTGACACAGGTGACGTATAGCCTGTTCAACCTGGATGCATGTGGAGATAGGATCACACGACTTCGGTGTAGTGGTAAGGGTGCAAACTATGTTCATGACTTCTGATTCGAAGGTGAGCCAATTCTCAGTCTGTGACTGATATTCAAGCCTCAGTCGATGGCGGTCGATCGAGTTAATCGGTGGGGTAATCCGGGGAGGTGCAAACCATTTAGGTAAGGACATGGCCAGGGGATGGTGCTCCGGTGCACTGCTTCCAATTGTTCGTTCGAACCGAGTCAGTACCTGAGCACGATGCTTGGTCCATTGGACTTGATGACGGCGAACAAACATGAAGTCGATTCGACTGGAATGATCCCCGTGCTTGAAGGTTGGTGTCCAGTGATGTTGACAGTGAACTGCTACCAAATCCAAATCACGAATCATGGTTTGAAAGTCTTGTTTCTCCCATTGGGTGGCCTAACCGTACTTGGGGTCGCGTGAATGCACATGAGGTGCGTCGGCGGTCAGGAATGTATTGCAATCACCTGCAAGGAGCAACATGTGACTCTTAGGTACATGATGAATGCATTGTCGGATGGCTTCAAAGACCTAAAGTCTGTCATAAAGAAGGGTTTAAGGATCTTTCAAATAACTCCAGGAGTGCTGATAAACACAAATGATATCCTAGATATGGATTAAATGCAATCGAACATATATGAGCCTGCCTGGATATAATTCACTCCAGGCCAGCTAAAGGACAATGGCTCGATGACCATGGGAATGCAACATATACCAATCACCAGACACCCATTTGATTATTGATACGTCATCCAATTTCTTGCAGGATGATCACCCAATTTCTTTCAGGATAATCACATTATACGAAGTCTAAATGAGCCAAGGCATCCATTCGTCCAGCAGAAGCCCGTTAGAGGCGTTCCAACAAAACGCGTTCAAGGAATATATGGTCCTTATCGGTGGAATCGTGAATTTTACCTTCATAGCTAATATATTAGCTTCGTAAAACAATTATTAACGGATCCTAAAAGGTATGTTAGAATACCAAAAATCCTTTCCAGCTATTATAGACAACCGTACTTAAAGGCTCAATAAAAGCTCCTCTTTATTCTTTTGTATCTAGATAAATCCCAATTAGGCCGTGCCCTAATATCGCCCATACCTCCTGGATTTTTGTGCCTAGCCGGAAATTAGACGGCTTAATAACGAGATTCTCACCACCGAGCGAGGTCTCAGAACCCTCGCGTCAAGCATGGAAATTCCAACATTTATAGTTAAACTTGTTCGTATCATGCCCCCTAAATTTAAAATCAAATATTTCAATAGACCAAAAATCAGAATCAAAATAAATTGCGATCAATAAATCTTCATCGATGAATTCCAGAAACAATCAATTCATCAATAAAGAAGTAAAGATATGTGCACGGAGAGGTACGGAAATAGCTGCCGAATTTAAAATTAAAATAGCGCTTATATAAGCACATTTAAATAGAAAAAATATATATATAAATTTCAAAAATATTAACAATATTAAAATCTTCTCTAATATAACATAATTCAAATTCAAAATTACATAATAAACCTAATTTTTTAAAGAATAATACAATTCAAAATTCAAAATAATCAAAATATTTCGAAATAAACGCCGACAACACAACAATGTTAGGGACATTGGTGACTCTACATTGGTAAGAGTGGCCTCCCACTTCAGCTGCCCCGGTGAGCCGGGTGGCTTCGCGACTCTCTGCCCCACTTTCCTGAACTTCAAATTCAGCCTCGATGCCGAACCTCCCGCTAAACCACTTTCGCCAATCGGAAATGCCTTTGCCTTCCGGATCTGGCAGGGAGGTCATGGACAAAGAAGGGATGAGTTTTTAGCACCTGAAGCACCGGGTTACTGCGTCGCGCGGGTGTGTCCAAGAACTGAGCACCCTCAAATAACTCATGACAGGTGCTTTCCTGTTGAAGTGGTTGCAAACTTGTGGGGTAAAACCCGGTCGAAACATGTGGAACCTCCGAAATTCAGCGAGCCTGGAGTACGGAATAGGGTTATCTTGAGGACACCTTCCAGGGCTTTCCGCTGTTTGAGGTCATTCTGGGCAGGTGCAGAAAAGGACCCCACCAGTAGCTTCGAAGCCATTTCAACCAGAAATGGGAGGGATCATGGGGATCCAGGGAGTTTAAACCCATCCAATCTGGGGTAATTACCCGATCCAGGATGGTCAGTGAATAAAGCTTTGAAGCAAAGGACAGCCTGCTACAAGTATAGTATAACATGAGAACTCCGCTATTGACTTGACTCTTAGAGGGTCGGGCTGTAGCCGAACACTCCCAACCTAAAAGCATTTCCACTCCATACCATCCTGAACCAGGTCATCTCCTGATGACCACATGCTTGTATCATTTTCTTGAGCCCTGTTTGGGAGAGCAGATTCTTGTTCATGATTCACCAACTTTCAAGTGTTCAAGATCCAAAGTTCCACCTACGGTGCCAAAACACAAGACAGGTCGAGTCTTATACCTGGCCTGAGCCTTAAGAAGGCTAACATATAAGCATGTCCACCCTCTTCAATGACTATATATATATACTATACCTCAATCTCCGCATGTAAACTATATGTGTTCTATATTCTTAGCATGTCTTAGCAATGTATTTCTACTGCACAAAATGGTTTTGCCCGCAGCATTATAGTCTACCTCCTCCTACCACGGGTTTCCTCACTCTGGCATGCTTATACCAGCCCCGTTCCACATCGTCTGCCTCTGCAAAATGATCTAGCCATCATTCATATGCAGTTTTGGAAACTAGTATTTCTATCAAGTGAACTAGGCTATATAGCTCATTGCATAGACAATCAATCATGCGGGATCCATGCTCTCTCTCTCTCCATATATAGATATATCTAATAAATATATCAATGAGCACACAATTCCTTTACTGACAAAAAGACCTTTCATTGAGGACATCCCTTTCCAGCTTCCATGAACAAAAGATTGAACCCCATGACTAACCCCCATATAACCCTATAAATCTACGTATGTCCATCGCTCCATGTCCATCGCTCCCTGCTTTTTCCATCGCTCCGTCTTCAGAACTTCCGCAGAAGCTTCCCCAGCTCGGTGGCCAAGGCTTCGCACCTCAGTGGTGTAGACTGTAGACTCGACTCGCTGAGGTACAAACCATAAACCCAATCCACTTGAATTGGACCATCCTCTTCATAATGGGGGGGCTTTATTCAGTTAATTCATCAGGAGTCCAAAAAAATAACACGACATGGTACTGCTGTTCTGAGGCAAAGACATGGTGCTGCTGTTCTGGAACCACATGTGAGCACCATCCATCTGGATGACCTGTGACACACCGTGACAGACTGTGACACAGTGACTCGGGGAACGAGGGGGGCTTGCAAACACGAAGAAATGTCGGAGCCAATCACCTTTCCCTTCGAGTCCTGAAAAATTGCGATCCTTGAGTCTGACCCAGTAACCCACTCAGTAACCCTCTGTGTGCCGAAAAACTGCGTGGACTCAAGCCCAAGACATGTCTCACTACCGCTCATTACTTCATGAACTTACGGCCCTTGCCGCCCAAAGAACCAATGAATTCACTTCTCCACACCCGTCTGCCTTGAAGACGTCTGGGTGGGAAGAGAGGTACTGCCACTGCTTCACCTGTGCGAGAGACCTAGGTTTTCCAAAGATGGAGGACATCAACCCACATCGTCAACTTGAGAGGAGGGAGACACGAAAGGTAGGACAGCGGGAAGAGAAAAGAACGCGAGAGGCAGGAACAAAAATGCAATGTTCGACATGGTGATTTATCCCCTCGGAGGCAACCTTTCGTAAATATATGTTCATATGCACTCTAAATGTTCAAACATATGCTCTCGAAATGTTCAAAAATATTCTTAGGAAAACAAACTTGCCCCATGGCTCAGATCATCGGTGAGCATTGAATCGGAGCATCATAGGGTTTTCAACTATCCTGAAACCATAAGAGGCTCACGAAGACGCTCCCCAGGAGAGAATTGACGTGCTTCACAAAACAAACTCTAGGTATGTATCCCCTCGGGGAACACCTTTCGTGATTAGAATTTCATATGCACTCTTTCTGAATGTTCAAGAGGGTTTCAACTATCCTGAAATTATGAGAGGCTCACGAAGACGTTCTCCAGGAGAGAATTGAATTTAGAGGGGGGGGGGTCTGTATTGAAAAATCAATTCCAAGGGGGCGGGGCGGGGGGTCTGTATTGAGAAATCAATTCGAGGGGGGGGGAGGGGGGGGGCGTTTGAATTGAGTGATCAATTATTAGACCCGGACGTCCCAACACTTGCTTCGCAAGACAAACTCAAGGTATCCCCTAAAGGGCTACCTTTCATGACTTGACCTTGGTGCCTTCTGCTCTGCAAGTGCTCTCAGGTGCTGAATTAGTTCAACCAAATCCAGAATGCGGCTTCTGCGCAAAGGCAATCCTTCTTCTTCCAGGAATTCAGATTCAACTGATCATAGATGATAGATATGCTGAACTTTGTTGGGTGTCCACCATCATTACAGCATCCTTATCATCCTTCGCAGCTAAGCATGAAGCCCGGTTTTCCCGCTGAGCGCCCCTGCACGGCAGGATCTTCCTTGCCGTAGAAAGCAACTGCACAAGGGCACACGGGCGCGGCGTCCGAGATCGGCATCCGAGTCGGGGCCCGCCTCTCTCCCCCGTCGTCCCGCCTCAGACGATAGACCTATAAGCTAAATGCTAGATTTGGTCCTTTGAAAGCATGGAATCCCATGGAATCCCCTTTGGATCTTGCGGATTGCATAGGGTGAGCCGGAGTAGTTGCTAGCTTTTGGACTCCCATCAAAGCTCTGACGAAATCGAACATCAGCAATGGAACGGGATGCTCTACTTATGTGTTTAAACCTTAAAACAAACACGAAGAGAGTATCATGACAGCAGCACATCTTTGTCAAAAATGAACTTCTAATGGCCTGCAGGAATCATTCAGCCACGAACGGTTTGAGTATTCTGTAGTGTTCCACCGGTGTTCAGTTGAAAAGAAACGAGGACGAAACAAAGACTTCTCGCTCACGCGGCGATGATTGTTTGTCATCTCAAGTACCACCACCCTATCTGCGTGCGTTTCCTATCTCAACTTTGTCTGGTCGCACCTTGCAAACCGATCTCCTCCCACCTCCTCCCCACGCACTACGCGCTCTCAAATGCCGCTGGACAGCGGCCTATGGGACAATGCAGAGGCTCGTCTGCACGGGGCAGGGGGAAGTCCTGGCATCACCCTAGTGTCAAAACGGTACATCAGTGATTCACTATGTACCTTACAACTACATATCTGTGATGTCATGTGTCCCATGTCATCGACTAAAGTGGATCATTACGATCTGAAATCCACAGTGAGGATGCCACGTTGGGAGACCCCTCAACCTCACGAAAGCATGCCACTGGGGGGGGTAGTTGTATACTTGCATTTACGTGCTGTCCCCACAAGAATTGGCGAGTTTTGGCAGCAAAACGCTGTCCTTGCTCATTCCTCGGCTTTCCCGGCCTTTTCTCCCGGAAAAACCTGCATAAGGAGCTGTTTCATGAAGCTCTTGGCTTCTTGGCTGGAAGCTCTTTGTCTTCAAGCACCTCATCGTCGTCCACCTGCTCCTCTTCCTCTTCCTCCTCTTGCAGAATATACGCCTCGCGTTTATCCATGGCGGCTTGCTCTCGAACAAAAGCATCACACAAGGCAGCTCGAATAATGTCTTGTTGACCAACGCGGTACAAGGATGCGTAGTACTCGCACCAATCATCAAAGCCCGGACAGCTGGGAAGTGACCCCTGCCAGCTGCTGGTGTTGGCCGGCAACGCTCGCTGTTTCTTCAGCAACTCTCGTCTCAAAACACAAAAGGTTTCGACCTCAGCATGAGGATCCAGCTGGCACTCAATCGGACGCAACAGCTGTTCCCGCAGATCTCCCGACTGCATCATCTTGTAGATCTTGTTGATGGGTAGTACCACTAAGCGGATGGTGGCCAACAGCGGCTCTGGCATTGGTGTTTTCACTGACAGCTCAAAGACTTGATCGAGATCCAAGCCAGCCATCTTGTGCGCCTCCTGTCTAATCTTGGATTCATGCACAGTCGGTTGTTGCCCCAGCTTCAGTGGTAGCGTGTCTTGAGGGTTCTCTGGCACACAAAAGCCATGCCCAAGCAACAACTGGAGATTGCTGCGGTGGTTGCCGTAGTTGATAAAATACTCTTGCCCAGCATCAACTGCGCTTCTTTGGGACACACCCAAGTGCAACTCACCCTTTGAATTGCAAAGTCCAACATCGACAAGAACTGATGGATCATGATTTGCAGTATCTAGAAGGGGACACAGGACTCCGGGAAAGTCAAGCGCAAGTCTCTCCTGTTCATGCGGGGACAAATACAAATTTGGTTGCACACATTCCACAATTCGTGCCTCGTTTGGTTCAAGCTGTGAATTAAGTTCAGCAGATGCTTGATGCTCCTTTTGTTCTGATTGGCTCATGAACTTCTCCAAGTGCTCTAGTGCGAAGCAACGAGAAGAGAGGGAGGAGCGTGCCCAGCAGAAGGCCTTCCAAGTGAAACGTTCTTTCGGGAAGATCTCCGGCTGCTCCTGTGATAGGGCAGGGAAAAGTGAAGCATAGACCGCTTCGAGCTGGCGTTCATGTCTTTGAACTTCATAAAGCAGTTGGGTTCCAGCAAGTCTCTCTTCGCGCTGCGGCATGGTCCACCAAAGGGGATCGCCATGTCTTGAAGGGATTTGACGCAAATAGGCGTGCCATTTGCTGGAAGGATCGTGCCATCCATCAATCATCACTACATACATCAAAGCCTGGGCACTGATGCGCTGCCCGCGGACTGTGTCGCTGGCCAAAAGGTGTTGCCCAATCCGAGATCGAGCGGATGCTGCCAGCGTCAGACATAGATCAAGTGGAATGGACAAGGCGACTTCACCTGCCTTCAGTGCAGCTGTGGTCTCCAAGCCAAAGCCACGGCATGTCTTTGTCACTTTGATCTTTTCCATCTGACAGCCCTGTTCATGACACCATTTCTGGAAGTTGCTGGCAACTTCACCAGCTTCCATGGCGCCAGAAAGACTGAGGAATTACATTGAGAAATATTGAGATAAAGGGTCTCGTTCTCTTGAACCAAGCTGTGATCACAGATCTCACCACTGAAACAAATGCTCCAAACATTTTGTATCCTCTGGCTCAAACCTTTCACACCCAAGACTGTCAAGACCTGGAACACAAGAGCCCAATCCACCACCAGGATCTTTCACCACGATAAACTGCTCTCAACTTGATATCACTCCTATGAAGCTGCCCACTTTCCTGATTTCCACGCCCAGGCTTCAATCGCAGTTGGCTCCTTGGTAATCCAGTGGTCAATAATGAGTGACCGCGCCACTGGCCAAAGCTCTTGGCTCTGATATGCCTGGTATCCTGAGACAGGGAACAAAAGGAGCGGAACAGCAAATGCGGCAAAACGTCCGAGACCAAAACGTTGCATCATGTGGATTGTGGTAACATGTGGTAACCCATCTGAAACCGGGCACCCCACAGTCCAACATGTCAAGCATCGTAGAACATCAACAGGAAGACTGTGCGAACATTGGACCGGATCGGGTCGTATGCGCATGCGCTGATGTATAGATAACGGACTTCAAGTGCTTCGAAGGCCTTGAACCACATGAGAATGGGCTGAGAATCGTACGCCACCCAGTGGCCATACACCGTATGCCCTGGAGCACCGAGTGGCCATACACCAAAGAAGCGACGCGACGGCCTCCCTCCTTCTAACAGAGATCTACCTTTTTGCCAAGAGACCCATGTGGCTCTTATAGGCAAGCTTGGGGTCACAGCCCCAGCCTCCCTGCAGCTGCACGGCAGTGATGCTTTTTTTCATGTGTGCAAGCCCACCAACGGCTGCAACCTCCGTTAATGTTCTTTTTGATTCTTTTTGCGTAACTGATTCTTGTGCCACTCATCCCTGTACGGAAATATGCCACTCTGCCACCAGTTTGAGGATCCCGTCGCAAATGAAAGCTTGTTGTCAATGTGTGTTGGTCGTGTCTCGCAAAACACAGCACTTCTCCGTCTGCCCCGGATCAGCGGCCGAGGTCCCCCCTGTGACGAGGACGATTTCCGCCTTGACCAGATGGGTGAAGATCCTCAGCGGCACGCACAGCGCCTGCCTCAGAGGTCTGTCACGGGGGCCGTGCGGTCGGACGGCAAGACGCAGAGGCGCTGAAGTTCACTTCGGTCACCACCTCAACTCCACTTAACTTTGGTCAACTTGTGAATCGAAAGGATCGGTTCTTTTTGCAGGAATTACATGCCTAAACGACGATTCCGAAGTATCCAAAGCGATCAATCCTTCTGTTGCTGAAGGGAAGTTTGGTCATGTACTTTGGGTGGAAGGAGATGGAAGCAGCATGTCGAGAACAGAGATCATGGGACTGTGTTCTCGACTGCTCGACATCTAGCAAGAAGCTTGACTGGTACGTGTCGACACGATATGGCATGCTCCAATGACTCCAATCCCTATTATCTATGAACTATATACAAGTATGGCACTACAGCTTCTGCTCCAGAGACTGACAACATGTGCTCTTCCTGCTGCACTCCTCGTTTACTCCAGAGTCTTCAAGCTCTTGTGTGCTCTCTTCGCGACTCCGGACCACGAACACTTCAAACATGTCCGGACCCTAAAAGCATCCTTTTCTCAGAAGCAGCAAACCCTCCGAAAAATCCGATCAGTGCCCTTTCTCTCCCGGTTTCACCTCTTCTTCAACGTGTCGAGCTCCAAGGGAGCCATCGAGCTGGGCACTGCAAAGTTGCTCACGAAGAGGGCCTTGTCTCACAACGATTCGGAGCGATTGCTTCGTGGGCGACCTTCGGGGGGGGGGGGTGGACGACCTTCCGTCGGAAGGACGTCCGATCTTCGGTCCCAGCAGGTTCGGACCGACGCTGTTTGTCAGGATTCTCCACACCCGTCCAACCAACAGAACCAATCACTTCATACCACTGAAATTTCCACACCGCCGATCTCTTCGGCCCTTCGGCCGCCTTCACGTCCACATTGTAATTGCTTCGCAAGAGCTTCACCACGTAGTAGGCGAAATGGGATCCCTGCGAGTGGGCAAAGACGTAGTTCGAGCCACGGCGCAGCTCCTGGGCGCAGCTGGGACCGGATGGCTTCACCTTGGCCGAACCTCCTCAAAGCCATGCCCTCCAAATCAAAGGCCTCGTTTTACTGGGCTCTATTTTCAAGGCCTCGTTTTAACTGGGTCGTTTACAGCAGGACCTCGTAAAACTGGTCCTTTTGAGGTGGAGGGATGGATTCTACAGAGTTTTCTTTGCCTGACAAAGAAGGTCTTAAGGTGCTCAAAACAACATGAGTCGCACAAGAGGCCGAAAGAAACCAATGTCCTGACATGTCCTGACCCCAATCTTTTGGAACCTGGAAGTGATAAACATCCAATCTGATGCAATCTGTTCCCTTCTGGGTTAAACAGTCATGTCAAAATCCCTTGTGGAACCCAGTTGGGTGATACACATTGATTGACCTCTTCGAACGCTTTCAAGGCCACGGAGTCCACACATCCACACGTCATGAGGTGAGTCCTCTTTCCAAAAAGAAAATAAAGCGTCACGGATGGGAAAGATGTTGCACACGTGAGAGAGAAATGAGGGTCACGGAGCGTTTGGGATTGCCGGAATGGAATTCTCCCACCGATGTTTGCCTCACGCGGCATCTCCCACCTTGGCCAAAGTCATGGCGATGACTTTGACGGCAAAGAGGCCGCTCCTAAACGAGGCTTTGCAGTGGCGGGTTCGTTTGCAAACAGCACAGGACCCAGGGCACACGAGTTGAAATTCTCCAGAGTTGCTGAAGCATCTCAAGGACTATCTCAAGGCTATTGTTGAAAGAAACAATGTAATTTAATTAGTTAGTTTGGAATCCATGTGCAGATGCAGTTCCTTGTTTGGGGGCACATCCACCAAATCACATGCAGCAAGTGGCCATCCAGATGGGCCGAACGGTTCACCGTAGTAGGTGACCGTGGATGGTGCTTTGAATGGCATGGCGGTTCCACAAGTGCCTGACCTTCCTGGACGCCTCACCGGGTCATTTTGGAGGTTTCTGCTACCTACCTAGCCATGCCTAGCCCTTCACCTCTGTTCACCAAATATTGGAAGCTGGATCGCCTCTAACTGCACTCACTGCAGGTACTGGACTCCACTCGCTGCACTGCAATCATTTTGTGCATGCAGCGAGTGCAGTACGAGTACCAGTGGTCAGTGCATGAAGGACAAATTGAGTGTGGAGCAGAGTGGAGTGCAGTGCAGTCAGTGCGTGCAGAAGTCAAAATGAGTGGTGCATGCAGTCCACCAACTCACCCCAAAACACACCCCAAAACATCCCCAAATCTCCTGGCGCTGTCGCTGGCGAGGTCTGTTCTCACTTCGGACCCCTCGGGCCATGCCGCCACCGGCTGCCACCTGTCACCGGTCATCCAAGCTTCGGGTAGCCATCGGCATCCTCTCGCTGTCCCCGTCCAGGCATGTCCAGTGCATAGCAAGCAACATCCTGAGGAGTCTCAGACGTCTGGGCATGTGCCACTTGTTCCACCCTTGCAGGCGCTTTCAGGTGCCAGTGAAGCAGATTCAACATGGTTCGTGTCAATCAAGCACCGGTGTGTCCTGGGGGTACACAGCACTACTCCAAGAAATATTCCAACCCGACCCTAAGTAGTTCTGTCAGCATCAGTTTCTGCAAATCAAACGGGAGCAGCCAAGGCATCGCAGCTAAGAACATCTAAGAATGCCCTTTTGTTCCTAGTAGCTTCTTGTTCCTAGTAGTAAGGCCAGGAGCCCCTAGTAGCGTCCTTGCTCCTAGTAGCGATGCCCTTTGTTTCTAGTTAAAGCTGAACTATTACAAACATACTGCAGGTATCTGCAGGTGCTGTCAATGATTCCTTTGCAGCTTCGAGTCTGCGGAACACACAAAAACACACGAAATCTTCCACGGGTCCTTGGGCATCTTCTGCACGACCGGAATGTACCTGGACGTGCCCGGTCTAAATCAGCTTGTCCGGGAAACGCCACCAGGCGGTGGCAGAACATGGAAACTGAATGGACAAGCAGCCCCAGTTCTACAATTGCCCTTGCATGAGAACCCACCCATGGCAGTTGAACGCAATCCTTTCCAATCCGCAACATGAGACATCAGCTTGTACGTCAAGGATCCAGCAGCTGGCGATCCACGAACAACTTTTAAAAAAAGAAAACAGAACGTGCCATCCAAAAAGGCTGTGTGACCTCAGTTAACATGACGCCACTGCAACCTCTGGACGCCAGAAGTCATAAGAAAGCCGTTGACCCTGCCGAGGTGCGCAGAACTGCTTCCGCCGAGCCATGGGAAGAAGATCACGCGAGTCCTTGACGGACAAAAACGATGTTTGGGAGAACCAACCCAAGCAGTGTAGGAAGAAGAGCCTCCTGTGCTCCCCCTTGCAACATGTTGAGAAAATACGGACTATCACGGTGAAAGGGTTCGAGGTGCTCGTACCAACTCTAATGCAAGATGGTGAAACCAGGTAACCAGGATTGCGTCCAGCAAACAGAGTTTTGACGATCACTCGATCGATACGGAGCATTCAGATTTTGGGACACATGTTTAGACAAGTTTATACACCTATACAGCAATTGTGTTTGTCGGCCTGTAGGCAGGTAGTTCCTGTCAAGCAGGGACTGCCAACTCACAGCCTGACAAGTGTTCAATGCTTGGCTCATGGAGAAACTACATGCAAGCATGGCTGGATGAACACAAAAAACGAGGTGAACAAAAATGTTTCTGTTTGAATAGGAGCCAAGTTTCGAAAGACCAGCGCCACCTTTGTCTAAGCGAAGTAACAAATCTGGATCCTGGCTCAAATCATGTTTGTATGCTCGAGAGGAGGAGTGAGGAGAGATTAAAATAGAACATAATAGAACATATTGGGCACACCAAGCGCGAGGCAAGCTTCTGAAGGTCGCAGCAAATTGATGTTTTGTGCAAGCATGGTTTCAGCTTAGCCGTGTCGGGTGGCCTAGGGCCTAGGACAGTGTAATGAGGACATTGATGGACATTGAAGGGTGGTGTGTTTACCAAATGTGTGACCCTCAAAACTCATTATGTCTGTGGTATGGTCACGGGTATCGACTTCAAGGGTGGTATCGCCACACACAGAGCCAGCAACTTTTTTGATCGCCGTTTGGTGATAGTAGCGGGAGTAGTAGTAGTAGTAGTAGTAGTAGTAGGAGTAGGAGTAGGAGTAGGAGTAGTAGGAGTAGTTAGTAGGATCTCGATCGATACAAGCTAGGTATCGGTTCTTGGGTAGGGAAGTGGGCCCAAGGATACACCAAAAAAGGGCTAAAATCACATGAGAATGAAGGTGAATGTATACCATAGCATGTACAAACACGTCATTGTTGGATATCCTGATGAGGGTATCGCCTTCAAGGGTGGGTATCGCCACTCACATGTTTTTGATGATTCGGACGACTCATGGCTGTGTCCCCAAGGTCATCATCGCGTGTTTTGATCCTTGCACGACATGTTGTTCAACAGCTGACTGCACCGACGTGGAAGGCTTCTGTCCTCTGCAGGGAGCACCTGATCCTTTGGACGCTCTTTGCCTTAGCCCAGAGGCAGGTTGCTTGGCCCCCCACTGGGCCCCACATTCACTTGACGTTTCAAAGGTCAGGGTCCAAAGGCATGGAAAAAAAGAACTTGAAAAAAAGAACCGCACACATCCTAACTGCTGGTGTAAAACGTCTGGTGCTGCAGGTGCTTCACCACTGTAGAAACCCTCGGCCGACTTTCGACCGCTTTGCTTTCGGTTTCCACCGTCGATGTGAGACGTCGAACACCCACATGGCGGACCAGTGGCGGAAGTCGAAGGGCCATGGCTGTCCCCAAACCATTTCAGATTGGTAGAACCTGGCTGCCAAGTTTACAGTAAACTGTGCAGGAACACACACACACACACACGCCGACTGCACTTAGATTCGGCTCATCATGTGTGCCAAGGCAAAGTTCAAACAGTGAACATTTTGCGGTGTTCGGCTACAAAGGAACACAACATAACACAAAAATAAAACTAAAAAAAACAAATCAAGAAAAACCAACAACTTATCTTTGCCGGCGGTACGGGCTGATCTTCACCCGAAAGCCTGGCTCCTCAGCGAAAAGGGGTCGGTGGTGAAAGCTGTGAAAACGATCTTCAAACCAATTCCCTGGGCAACCACAGTCACATTGGTTGGTCCCTCGCTGATCTTTGTGATCTTGCTTCATAGCTTGCTTTCTTTGAAACTGGGTTGCGGCCTTGCAGCAACGCTCTGTTGCTGGCAGTTTGGGTGCTTTTTGTTCTTGCTTGGTAAGTCGTCTATTTGCTTGCTGGGATGCTTGCTTTTGTCGGTCTGTCTGTCAGGTATGTGCTTCTTGATTTGCTGAACGATGATCTTCTTGCATGTTCATTCACAGTTTGAAGCATAGCTGGGACTGGCCAGGGATCTGTTGGAAGTTCGGACCCGGCCATGTTTAAACGATAAATGATTCCCTCTCACGCTAATGAATACCATCAGTGGATTGCGTTGGCCTCACAATAACATGGTTTTTCAGTACTCGCGTGAAGTCAAACGGTCTCGACTGCCTAGTCCCGTTTCCACAAGAAACATGTATTGTATAATTTTATACAATTCTATAAGACCCGTGCTCCCAACTACATGGTATTTGCTTTGTAGAGGCCCCAAGCAGAAAATAGTGGCCAAGCAAAATGGTGGCATCTCTGTGCAATGATTTTTCACTGTTTTTCGTCCCTCTCTGTTCGGTTGGTCTCTGAAATCTGAAACGAGCCTCATACGGGAAAAACAACAACAAACACCTCTCTCGCTTCCGCCAGGAATCAATCCCATAATCTTGTAGCGTCAGCTCTCTGCCCTGCACCCGAGGTCTCAAAAGAAACCTGCCGCAGCGGAGAAAGCCACGAAGCCAGGGGGCCGTGGGCCGTGGGCCAAGGGCGGGTGAGCCATGGTGCTGTCACTCATCACCCTACAACTCGCACAGCAACAACTGATCAGTCTCCAAGAGGCCGATCGAACCACACATACTTCTGCGAATAGTTGCCCTGCAAAGGCTTCCGCCTCCCAGGCGCCAACAAAAGGGTCCGCGCGCCACAGGCCCACAGAATCGACACCCAATGTTCGAATCTCAGTCTGCCTCACTAGTGCTTTCAGTTTTTTTTTCAGGTCGCAGTAGCGGCTTAGTAGCTGGTTTCAGAACACTTCGTGGCCCACAAAACGACCAGCAAGTGACTTTGACTTTCGACCAAACAGTTTTACTGGAAATAAGATGAATTAAACATACTGTCCGGTCTGTGACAGAAAACTGCATTGCGAAAGTCGGCCACAAAGTACTGTATAGCTTGCGGAAACTTGTTGACACCGAGATACACTTCATGCAATGAAGCACTCTGGTTGGATCGAAGAACAAACCTAGTTGGATTGGTCAATCGTGTCGCATCGCGCAAAGGGACCGCACCCGTCGGTCACCGGTCACTGTGGACCGCTCCGCGCGCTCCCTCCGCGTCGGTGCCTGTACTCAGCATCGATGCGGCGAACCTCCGACAGGAGGTGGTCGTGCAACTGGTCGATCTCGGAGAAAAGCGGAGAGGGCGTGGATGAGTCGGTTGGTTGGCGGAGGTGGGGTGGATGTTGGGTGATGTTTCGTGTGTGATGGTGCGTGTGTAGTTGATATCCATTCTTCCCTAGATGAGGTGATGCATTCCCGTTGGCATCCTGGTGGATGGGAAAGACCTTCACTGAAGCTCACACTTGGACCTGGAGGGGAGAATGCGGGCGGATGACCTGAAGAGTCATTGATCTATCTAAAAGGATCTCAAAGGATCTAAAAGGTATCCACTAAAGTATCCTAAGGCAGGTATGACCGGCACATTGTGGAGGTCAAGCCAGTTGAAATACTGGGCAAATCATCTCTGCAGCGTTGCAATGGAGTCAGCAGAAATCATTAATCATAATTGGTCATGTGATACTGGCAGATAGGGTCATGTTCCTTCTGATCTCTTCAACCCATAAATCCAAAAGAACATCTTTTGCTCAGCTGCTCTGATCAACATCTACCAGCACTGCACTTATGAAACTTGTTTTTGGGTCCTTTGCAGCCTTCACCAGTGATGACAACCATGTCCAACCATGCTCAAGACCTGCTGTGATGACCATTCCTTGAGAACGAAATGGTGGAGTTACACCGAAAAAGATCAACATGGAACCTGAACATTGACCTTTGGACAACGACCTTCCCATACCTTCTCGACCGTAAGAGAGGAAGGAAGCATCTCCAGGGATCCTCCTTCGCCCCCATTGGTCGGCAGCCAGGCGACGGTCCAGGTGTCTTCCACCCAGGTGAGCTGCATCTCAAACTGCAGTGATTCGGGATGGTCGAAACCCAACATAATCCTTAGTGGTGATGAATAAATGTCGGGCAAAAGAAGCACACAAAAAAGACTCCACATATTCCAACAAAATTCACCATGCTCAAAGCCAGCAACCTAAATCAAAAGAGATGTTGTTGTGCTGGGATCTTGGAGCAAAGAAGTTCGGCCAACTCTTGAGAAGCTTGATCCAAGTGAGGCTACGTCACCTGGACCCTTCTGGAACAACTCCTTGGCGTTCCAGTCCCGCAAACAGGAACTGACTATACTGTGATCTGCGCTCAAGGCACTTCTGCGACTTGCCCTCGATGGCCTTGTAGATCTCTTCCTGGACCAAACAGGTCTTAGAGGTCGAAGTTGCAAAAGAGCATCATTTTTGGACAAAGATGAAAGCAAAACCTTAAGACATCCAAATACGAAGAATACCCCAGGCGGGACAAGTCTTGACATCAAAATGTCTCAATACCTATCAGCTCAGTCATCAGCTCCTTCTGTCAATAGTGACACTAAGGGACATCTGTCTCTGGCAGCACGTGCTGCTGCCCACCTGCTGCTGCTTGTTTGGCTTCCGCCTCCTTTCTTCCGCCTCTCTTAATTTCAGCTCGTAGCTCTTGGGCATCCTGAACGGCTGAAGCCGCTCGAACAAACAATTCCATGGATTCATCTCTTGGGACTTCAAACGGCATGTCACGGCCCATTTGCCTAGTTGCAAGAGTCATTCTCATCACTGGTACAGTAACAACCAAACTGATCAATCTGATCCGTGTTACGGCCTAGTTGCACTACGTGCCTTCTACATTCTAGCACTCACCATCTTTGAGTCTTAGCAGCTCAGCTCAAGCCTGCAGACCGCCCACAACCTCCTTTCCGCCCAGCAGCGGGTTCTCGGCGCGAAGGTCCTCCCTGGTCCGTCCAAAGGGTTGGAGATACGTCTGTTTGAGCAACTAGTGATGAGTGTTTTCAGGTGACGTTGACATGGAGACCTGTGGAAGGTATGCTTTTCTCAAATATTGTATTTCTTCGGTCTGTTGAACTGCTGGAAGCCTGGCATGTAGCACATCAATGTCCACAGCATTGGTTGTAATGAAGAGGGGCTGTGTCTTGTCTGAGCCAATAAGTCCTTGCCCTGTCGGGATTCATTGCGATTGATTTGAGTAAAGTGCAGTAGTTCGTTGCAGCTTCCTATTCCAAGTCAAAGTGTTCCACAATGGGTGGGCAGGCTTAGCTTCAAGTTCACAGAAAAATAGTACATGTATACAGTAGAAGTCCCTAATACGTAGAGAGTCCAGGCAAAGGTTGTCCGGGACTTGGCAGTTGAGCCACAGCAAAAACCATTGCTCTTCAGAATCTCAGATTGAGTGTCCCCATGTCGACCACAGGCTGCCGAGAGGTACGCAATGAAAGCTATGTGGTTCTCCACGCAACTGGTGGGGGTTCACCATAAATGCTAAACACACCCACTAGATGTATGTCTCCATTATAAAAAAAAAAAAACACTATTTATTTGATTTGAGCTTCTGTTCTGGCACGGTTTCGCCTTGCTTTTACTTTTTTGTTCACAGCTGTAGCGCCTTTGGCACTTCGGTTCCTCCCTATGCTCACTTTCTACCAGTGCTGCTCGGGATGCGACATGCAAACAGATGCAAACCAGGGTCTGATGCAGAACCCCAAACGCAGCATGGGCTGTTCTGCTCAGTAAGCATGTGCTCATGTGCTCCGAATGCATCCCGTTCTCGTACGGTTCGCAGCACTGGAAGGCCTAGGACCTAGGATGATGAGGATTTAGCCCGTTTGCATGACTTCGCTGATGTTGCCAACTGCAAACATGATCTTGTTACTATCATTCCGATTCCAGTTGAGATTAAGAAATACTTAGCGAAGTTCAATCATGCCATTGACGAGATCGCAAACAGGTGAGCGCTTGCGGACAAGCATCAATCCAAGCTGGAAACGACAAATGCAGGCCACGAAAGCATTCCACTTGTTGCTCAATGCTGAGTATTGAATCTACATGCGTCTACAACTGGCAGGTGTGCTTTGTTTGAGACACCTTAACTTCGACTTTGAGGTCTACCTGCGTTGCGAAAAACCTCTCAAAAAGCCCTGTGCAAAACGTCTCAGCATCTCTCCCCATCGCGGCCTACGTGCAATCTACTGAAAACAGTTCTCCAGGCAGAGCTTCTGACCCGAAGCTGAAGACGCCCTCCCTTTCGCTCCGAAGCAGTCGTTCTGCGAGTGTCAAAACACTTCGCCCACCCGAAGAACGCGACTTGCCCAGGTCTGTGAAGCACCAGATTTTCCTCGTGCCAAGTCATGATCATCAACGGTGTGAAGCATCAAACTGACATCTGACATCTCATCTTTCGGGTGCACACCGTGGCTTGCACAAGTAATTACTGATAGTACGGATGTCAAAGAAGTAAATCTGAGAGCCAAAACAAAATACTCGAAGAGCCACCAGACTTTCAGGAAATATGCATGTAGCATTCGACACTCCATGACACTCCTAGTAGTATTGACATGTATTGACAATTCATCAAATCTGAGCACCATCGCTGATTCTTCATGACCGCTGCAGGCGGAAAAAGAGAGTCAGTGCTAGTGCCGGGAGACAGATTTGCAGTCGATTCGGGTTCCATCTTCGCAGTTGATCTTCGCAGTCTTCATCTTGACCCAGTGCATTCTCCAGTCCTATGAAGTCACCCCAAAATATCCTGACATGTTCCTTTCGAATCAGAAAGGTACGAGATGGTACAAGGACTACTGTATTACGTAAGTGATTGAACTTGACAAACGGTGGTTTCAGAGAGGCGACTAGCACAAACCCAAAGGTGTCTTTAGAGAAGAAGGGGTCCATTTAAACGGTCCACCCTTTGGGGATTGCGCTAGTCGATCCTCTACGTGACCCAGGGACAAGTGCACCACCCTTGTTGAGCTCAAAAGATGTTCGCAAAGGACGTGTGTGAATCAATTCTGATTCTTGTCATGATTGATCTGTCTCCCAACACACAAGACGAACGCCTACAGGAGCAACTGATCCTTTGGACTGTTGACAGTTGCTGTGCTTTTTTTTGGTTGCGAGTGCTGGTTCCAAGCGCCACCTTCCGAGAGGCACGCTCCAAAAGACACCAAGGGACCCTTCTTTTGTGCGCTTTCTCAAGATGGGCAAAATCAGACTTACCTTTGCTGGAAGGCTACATGGCCCTCAAGGTAAGAACACGCTGCACCACTTGATAGACTTTAGACATCGGCATTGGAGTGGGGCTCCACTTCTTGCTCTTCGTTCACCTTCCAAATGCGCACTTGCTTGCTGCAGCAAAGCTGATTCTGGAAATCTTATCCGAAAGATCCCAAAACCGTGCTCCATCATTTGTCTCATCTGAATATCTCAGCACTTTCCTTTAAAAAACCAGCACTGGCCATACCAACAAGCTGGCCATCCCTAGTTCACTGATAGCTTTGGCCACATGTCCATCTGTCCATGGGAGTGGGCCTCCCAAAACGCGAGGTCGGGGAACGCACGGAGGTGGGGGCCCCGAGTCGGGCGACCCGAGTAGTCGGTCGCCAGTGACGTTGCAGGAATGACAGACTACTTACTTGCAGTAGAAATGAAGTGAAATGAATGGGACAAATGGGGGGCACTTCTTGCACTATGTTGCTATGCAAGAGACAGCGTATATTAAATAGGCTTGATTCTGATGATGTCTTGTAGGTGGCCTCGCCTGCATCGCCTGCGGCACAGCCTGCGGCACAGCCTGCGGCATGGCCATAAGACCTCGGGCCATAGGTATGGAAGGATGGAAGGATGGAATCGGGAAGGTGAGGTTCACAAGTGGACAGCCCACGTGAGTCTGGGAAATCCAAAAGACTCTGGATGACACTTATAAGACTAGTAGCTTCTTGTTACTACTAGTCAGGCACTTGTTACTACTAGCGTGGCACTTGTTACTAGTAGCTTCTTGTTACTACTAGTAAGGCACTTGTTACTACTAGCGTGGCACTTGTTACTAGTAGCTTCTTGTTACTACTAGTAAGGCACTTGTTACTACTAGCGTGGCACTTGTTACTACTAGCAAACCTTGTTACTACTAGTGGATACAAACTGCTCAGCAAAGCGCGGGGCAAAGGTCCGAAATTCGCGGTTTGGAGGAGAGATCTGAGGAGTCTGTGAACATGTTGGTTGCCCTTTTGCTGCGAAGGATGAGGAGCTTTGCCATTAAACCAGTCCAGCCTGGCCCCTAAACCCTCACCAAAGCAGGTAGTTCACCTGTCTACCCAGTAGGGTCGAGTCAGGAACGTGAACAAATGCTTGTTTCCGCGACAGAAAAAAGAAAACAAATCAAATGTAAATCTTCAAGAGAATTACATAGATGCCTACTGGCGTGCCCTCAAGCTCCCAGCAGCCCCCCCCCTTAGCTGATTCAGAGTGTTAGAGTATACTGTATATAGCTTTCAGTATCCCAAGTAGAAATGACACAGTGCATCTATCAAAGTGTTCACATCTCTTGGCCCTGCTGACCTGGCCCTCATCTTCTTCAACCCTATGACCCGACATCTCATGACCCACCGCGGTCCCGCACCCACAGGAGCTGGCTTTTCTGCCACCTTGGATCTCCTGGCGCGTGAAGTGGACCGGAGCGACGGGAAGATGCACGGATGATCCCGGTCCATGTACCCGGTCCATGTACGTGCCAGCCTGTGTTCCTTTGCTCTTTCTGACTGAGAGGTCTGTGTTGCCAGGGGTGTGGAGTGACACAGCAAACTTCAAAAAACAATGCTGGCAGGGATCCGGAGCAAGTTCCTGTAAATCACACGTAAACTGGTCAAACTTAATTCGGCGGCAACACCCCTTTCCAGACGACTTGCCCTTGCCATTTCTATTCACAATGTAGGATCTGGCCTCGATGCACCATTTCACGATTATATAATCTCTTGTATGCCAGCTCTGCTCCACGCACAAACGAGGACGAAAAGATCACACTCACACATCACGATTCACTACTTTTAAACAGCTGTATAAGCTGACTCTTCAACAGCTAAGTTTCAACAGCTACGTTTCAATCTCACTCTTCACGTCTCTTTCTTTTTCGGTCAAACAAGTCCGATCATTGGCCCTACCAAAGCCTATTTGATGAACAGCTGTGAAATACGTCGACGTAAGTCTTGAGTCTTGTTGACAACGACAATTGCCCTCACCAGTCATGGGTGTGTCAGTGACAAACATGGTTCTACAGCAAGTCTTTGGATGGTGTTTCAACTGGATTGCTGTCACTACACCACATCTTGGACTGCCCAAGCCCCGGACTGATCGCAAATAAGCCACGAATCGACGACCTCATCGCAAGTGAGATGCGGCTTCAGGGCGGATCGATTCCACTGAGGATTCCGGCATTGGTAGGTCTTGTGAATGAAGCTGGTGGCTTTAAAAGAAGCCCTTTTGGGGTCAAAGACATTCTAACAATCATCCTTTAGCGTTTCTTGATATGGCTTATTCAGACCAGCAACACCCTGGGATGCTGTTACAGTATCTGTGGTCATGCTGAAACCTTCCTGTTGAAGAACTGAGGCGACTGAGGTATCAGGCTGGTGCACTCGGTTTGCGATGAGGGGCTGAATCCGTCCATTGCTGCCTGGACAGCTGCGGATGTCATTGACTAGATTAATTGTGATAGGGATGAGAAGTTTGCCATGGCCGCAAGCATAATCCTCGAACAAATCGACATGTGTGTTCATCCTCTCCATGCCTGTCAGAGTAGAAAACAATGCGCACACTAGAAGGCTATACTAGGATGCCTGTCAACATTGTTCCTACTAGTCACTTGCTCAATTGCTTGTATCACGGTCGAAATGGCCAGGTTGGGTTGATTGAAAAAAAATGAAAAAAACTTAACCAATCTGCAGGTCTAAAAGGTCGGTTCTACCACCCCACCTGTTGCGCATCTTGCGGCAA